AGGAGTTTTGTTAAAAAAATTTACTTAAGTTACTGCAACATATTCCTTTCACATATATGTTTTCAAATTATCAACAGAACAYTCAATGTAATCCTTAGTAAAAATCTTCATTCTAATTCTTAATAAGCAATTTAATATGGGAGCATATCTGTAAATAAACACTGAATGAAGTCCTGTATGGATTAAGACACACAGCTTTAAATCGAAAGGTTTTATACTTGAAGTCACAAACGTTTCTATACAATACCACATTGTCATGCTCTAAACATCCGGGATCCCAAATAAACCTCCAGTAAACTGTCTCTCTTGAATTTGGTCAGGAGAAAATTTACAGGAAAAMATTTTTTTAGCCTTGTAAAGTACAGTAGTACCATAACTGGACAATCTGGTTTATAATTTATTATTGAAGGCTAAAATTGAGAAAGAAGTACAGCTGAAAGAAACAGAACAAACCCATTATGCTAAACCATGATGCCAAACAATATGGTAACAGCAAAACCCAGGGAGGAGTGATACAACAAAAGGCTATAAAAGAGACTCTTCCATTTAAATCAACTGCTAAGAGATCTCTAACAACATTGTATTAAAAAAAATGAAAGAAAAATTAAAGATGTAAGCAAATTACACAAAGGAAATGGTAAAYACCTTAAAGGAAGAAAGAAAAACATTATGATAAAAGTAAAAATGTGATGAACTGTGGATTATTTTCTTTACTCTTGCAAAGGATATAGTTCAATTTGTACAGCATGAAAAAAGAGAAAGAAAACAACTAGCTGGATCACGACAGCAATCAAAATTTCTGCAAAATTGCTATATGAAGCATCCCTTTTATCACTCATTTTTAACTCCACTTCCTTCTGAAAACAGAAAAATTCATGAACAGGATTCTCAGATACAGTGTTTATCAGCAGTTCTACCTGCAGCATAAAAGACATTTACTTTTGTTAATTTGATTCCTATTATTCCGCAGAACTAAATATACYCAACTTAGTTAAAAAACAATATAGGGGTAAGAGAAATATCACTTTCTATGTATCCAAAAACCATCACAGATTCATAGGAAGATACCAAAAAGATTTGACTTTCAACTTCTCAACTAATCAATCATTTAACTTAAAAGTATGAAACTACTTTATCTAACATAAACTTTCAGAGCTTATTAATAGTTAAAAAAAAATCACTGTTTCAACAGTGACACTCTAAAGACACATATTCTTGACCGCCTGGTTTTCCACTACTGAATTTTCAGATTCACAATTAAAGATTTCCTCCACAAGAGAAGAATTTTTGTATTTTTAAAGGGAAAATGATATGCACAAACAATTGTTTAAATCTAGGACTAAAAGCTCTAAAAATTGTACACTTGAAGTCAAAAGGTTGGAAAGTAATAGAAGTCTGTTTAATGAGGTAATTCACATAAAAYAGGTATGACTTGAATAAGCTCTTGTTCTAGCACATGAAAGATTTGCCTCAGTATCAACAACAGAGTACAGCATTTCTATTCATGAACAGAATTTTTAATTACTCCTTCACCTTTTCTAGGACAGCAGTGTTTTATACAAGAAAAACACAGCACACTGATGAACCCCACAGTTCTCGTCCTTTCTGTCTCATTTGTATTTGGTTTCCTCTTTGCTTCCCCAGCAAYGTTTTTGATCAGTTTCTCACTGTAACAAATTCTCTAATTTAGTGGTCTGTGTTCCTCAGCCCACCTCCGCTTTACCTTTTGGCACAATTAGTAATAAACTAGCCCCTGTAAGGACCATCCTTTAGATGAAATCTTCCACATTAATACACTACTTGCATAAATGATGGAAAAGCCATAATCTCAGCCTATTGGGAGATTCAGGAGATAGCAGAGTATCAATAAACCCCTATTTTTGATTACATTATCCCCCCTACCCAGAAAATCTGCATCTTTTGTTGAAATGAATGCTTCATCTTTTCAGTATATGGAAAAGTTTTCCTCACTTTTTCCTTTACCTAAATATTACAGCAGTCACACATGAACTTTTCCCTTCAGTTTTACTTCTCAGTAATACATCCTCTAACAATCTTCATTTCTTCCACGTCCCAATGGCACACACAAGTTAGTTAGTAGAATAATAACTTTTCCCTGGTGAAAATACACTGTGAAGTGATTTAACAATAAAACGTACAACCAACTATGCAAGAAACATGATTCTAAYAGAAACTATGAAGCACATACAACTCCTGAATTTTATCAACATTCAAATCCACGCACCCTATTAATACAGGGTTTTATAAAATACTGGCTAATAAATGAGTTACCACCTTTGGGAAGTCTACAATTTTAAATCTGGCCATTTGGTTGAAAGCAATTACTAACAGTTTTCAGTCTAGGACAATTMATATCTAATATTTGGACTGTATGCTTTGAGAACTATGGATCCTGCTGAGACACTGCTTTTGTGTGAGTGTGTGTGTGTGTGTGTGTTCTGAGTTCCTCTCCTTATATTTTAAGGTAAACACTGAATCAGCAACCAGTACCATGACAAATAACTCCTCCAAGAGAACATAACGTCATTCACAACACACTAGGCTACACTTGTTACACAAATTTTGTACACAAAATAGATGAACTCTATGAGCCCAAAATAAGTTGGGCTTAAAGTTCACAAAAGTAAAAAATTCCTAATGAATTATAATGTTGTTACTTAAGGATTCCACAAAAAAAAGACTGTATTTATTGTCCAGTCCTCACCCCTAAAGAGAGTAACCATTATACTGCACAAACAAGCAGCACAGAGCAGAGGCTACAGAGAAACAGTATAGACAGAGTGACCTTGGCATTTACATAGAAGTTCCATTACTGTACACACATATAAATACACACACATACAGTTGAAACTTATTTTACACAATGGAAAGACAAAAATCACGACGAGCAAACTAATTTCCCTTCAGATAGTGTGTTATGGGAATCTGCGGGGAAGACTTCATAATGAAGACTTATTTTCAAGTTACTTTTACATTTTAAAGCACTTCACTTTACTTCCGTACATTTGGTTTCTATTTTAGAAAACTGCTGCACATTTACAAGCTGTACAGGTTACACACAGCAGAAGAAAATTATATAGAAAGAGAATCTTTAATGACAGACTTTCAAACTAATGACTATTAAGATTACTCAGTTTCTCTACCAGGTTCTATTACACAGAAAAATCTACCTAGCACTGACAGAAATCAAATGAAAAATGAGCGTATCACCTACTTTTGAGGTTAAGAAGTTTCCTCCACAGAAACTAAGTTTTCCACTATAGCTTCCACCATATCCAAGGTCATATACTCTGCACTGAATAACTTCACAGTAATTATTTCAACACTGATTGTGTTTTGGGAAAGCACAGATAAATGAGGTGATGGGGAAGGAACAGACATGAAGCTAGAGTAATTTTCCTGGTAACATAAGATCAGAACAAACACCTTGCCTGTACACATGGAGCAAAAATTAGAGACTAGAAAATAGACACAGGTGAGCTGACAAACCCAAAGAGTAAGAAAATGAACACAATATCGTGCATAATAAAATGAGGAAGTGAATCAGCAAAAAAACTACAGAAACGGAACCAGAAACAAAATCCTAATTAAGCTGAGTACAGTTAGGAAGACAAAGAAGGCCCAAAAAACCCAAAAGGATTACATGTAATTTATTACTTAAATGAAATCACTATGTTACAAGTCAGTAMAACATTTAGATGTTATATTCTTTTCATTTGCAGTAGTCTTTGAGATCAGTGTATCATCGTGCATTTTATGATGACTGACACAGAGTATTGTTAGTGTTTTTAGCCTATAAAAAACACTATGGTTAAAAGCCTGAAGGCATRTAGAATCACAGAACCATTTAGGCTGGAAAAGAYCTTTAATACAGGGGAGTCTGTATCTCAAAGTGCTAAAGCATAATTTACAAACTCAAATAGAGGCCCTTGGAGTATGCGATTTCTCTGGACACATGCAAAAATGTTATTTGAATTCTCACTTCAAAAATGTTTATCGTCTTTTCCAAAGCATTGCAGTATAGGAACTACCCAGTAATCCAGAATCAGAAGTTGAAGCAATACTCTAAAACAAATCATTGCAAGGTGCAAGCCCTCCTCTTTACTACATGTGGATATTTTGTCACAGCCTTCTCATGCGCCAATTCAGTTGTAGCTATCAYGCAACCTACAGACCAGGAAAGGGTTATCATGACCTGGGTTTGCAATATGGTCTAGTCCCACCCAAAGCATAAGACATGGCAAGATTTGAATTCTGCCCACATGTGAACTGGACTTGGATCATCCTTATTCCTGTGATTAATGCAATGTACCTTCCAAGAAATAGTAATGTTTCATTTAAGTTGTAAGATCCTAATAGCGAGCGTGGAGCCGACCACATACTTGTGCATTTGTGTGAAGTATGCAGACTTCCACAGAGGTACATATTGCAAACATAATTTTGGTTCCTTTGCTTGTGCTATTCATTGTGCAGAAAGAGCAATCTATCTTCTCATTGACTTTGAATGCTAGTGCAATACACTACATCTTTTAATGAATAAGAAAGGCAACAAGTTAAATTACTTGTATTTCAGTGTGATTAAGGAAGTTAATTGCTAAAATAATAGTTGGTTCATTGAATCAAATGAGCATTCATTCCACTGGGTTTCACAATAAATTTAGGGCGTGGTTTCCTGGTCAGTTTAAGCTGATCTATGGCTGCAGTGAGCAAAGGCAGTCATGTCATTTCTCACCCTCCTGTTTTCACAGCTCTCACTGCAGTGACTAACAACTGCAAGGCAGCATGATACCAGAATAATTTAATTTACCATGCAGTTCACATATGACAGTTGCTACACTATGAGGGAGGTGCCAAAATGAGCTGTTGAGGATGGTGTTGCTCTTTTGGCAACCAACCTGAACAACTTCAGCCAAGAGGCAAGCAGCAAGAGCAGGAAAGGAAGAGTGGTATCAACCAGAGTACACAAAATACTTTTTTACCTTTCCACTCTGCAAAGCAACGTCAAAAATGCTGCTTCTAATTCCAAYGTAAATCTCACGTCCACAGACCTGAAGAAAGAGGCACAATTTTCACATGCTGAAATGACAAAAGAAAAAAAAGTCTCTTAAATACAGCCTTTCATTATAAAAAAGCAGCACCAAATGAAATTAAAAGTACAAAATAGCAGGGAAACCAAAAATAAGAACGCAATTACACCAACAGTTAATGAGCACAAAAGAATTAAGAACTGTACCTCAAAACAGCAGCTGTAGGCATAATTTTATGACATAACTTTCATCCTCATGTTCTCTCACAAGATTACATTTAATCAGAACATCCTTTAAAAGAAAGTTGACAAACACACATTTGTGTTTATCACTTAACACAGGATTAGTTCAGCAGAAAACCTGATATATACTCCCTGATAGAACCCAGCTGAACTGTTTATCTCTTTGGACAGGGTACACACAAATTAATTTTCTTGACTACAGAGCAAATCAAATGAACAGCAATTTGACAGCTGCTAGGAAAACTAGGAGATTGATTAATATTTTTCTCTTTTCATGTTTCTGATTTTAACAGATGATTTCCATTTCTGACTATATCGGATAGTAGTAGTAAACAAGTTTGGTTAGTGMACAGCAAACTAGCTTTTAAGGAAAGTTAACTTCATTCCTACTAGGTTATACCAAGTGTTTTCCACAAGTGTTAAAAACAGGCATTTATGAAGCAACTACATGAAAAAGCAAGCTATGTAATCCTAAGTAGAATATRAATTAAAAAAAAAAGCTTCTGAGCCAGGAATCTATGGATAATAATAGAGAAGTGCTCGATGACTTTTTAAAAGCTTGAGCACCATCTTCCAGAATTCCAAAGTTTTAATAAATCTGTAGATGYAATCTGTATTGGTATGACTGAATTTAACTTGTAAATATGAATACACCTTCTGTGTTTACTGCTGTTCCTGATATTCCCCTCTTACTAACACACAAGGAAGTCACTAACCTCAGTTATAAAAACCCATAGGTCTATGTRCATATGTGTCTGCCTTTGATAGTCAATAAAAAAATTACAATTCACACTGTTCAGGTTCCTTTGAATTTTATCAGTTTAACTTCAGTCACATTTTCCTCACTAACCTTAAAGAAAGAGCCAATTTCTTTGCCATAAAACTGAGATTCTCACAGCTTTCCACAGAAATTTTCTGATCCAAATAAAAATTATTTCTATGTCCACTTTTATACCCTTACTAAATATAAGTTTTGGATCTAAATTAGTCTCAACATTCCACAGAAATAAATTAATGCCTGTATTTAATTTCTCTATTAATGCAGCAAGGAAGTGTATATTTTCTTCTTTTACTTCTTTCTGTTTATTAAATGCCCTTGAAAATGAGAAGTCACAACACCGTTGATAAAAAATTTTGTTTTACTTTAGGTTTACTGGGGCAGTTTTAACCAACATCTATCTTAACAGCTTGCATTTTCAACTAACAGTCTGGAGATCACTCAATGAAATTCAATTCTCAGAAGGTATTTAGCATCTTCTAACAAAATCAATCATGCCAAAACGCCAGGTCTTCCTGAAGTATATAGGCAGCACTTAACATCTCAGTGCATACTGAAGCTTGCAGTTACCACCAACCACCTGTATCTTCACTGAAACACATTAAAGGATCTACTTCAGCAAATTTCTTTAAAAAACACCAGGTTTTAATATGCCTGTAATCTTTTTTGTACTCTCTGAAAAGAAAGTTTATTAGGMAGGTTCTACTTTGCAATGTTAGATTTGAACAGTTGAAGAACTACATATATTTTACTGGATCATTTCTACTCAACTAAAAAGGATGTCAACATTAAGTTATCTTTATTAGTATTTCAGGGCAGTATACTAACTAACAGATTACTCTTCTTCTATTCTTTCCTAACTGAAATAATAAAACCTTTATGAAAGTTTAAAAAAAATACTTGGGAAAAGAGAGTCATCATACTAATTGTATGAAACCATAGGAATTGTACACCCCTACTGGATAGCAATTCCACAACCTAAGAGAAAAAAAAACCCCCTGCATTCTCAAATAGAAAACAAAAACACAATTGCATGCTCCTCCATAAGCATATTTGACAGACAAAAAAAAATCTCACTCTAGTGAGAACTTTAACTTCCTCTTGAAATCTTGCAAAATGCAATTTTAAAGCAAATGTGAAAAAATGTTGAACATAACAAAACTACTCATTACATTTTTAATTAAATTCCTCTAAGATACTTYTCAAGACTATTTGCTTTTTGATTAATCAGCATTTATAAGACTGCTCTTGTCAATRTATCTCCCTATAAAAGCTTCTACTACAACAGTCAGAAAGGTTTTTCAATTACAAAGAAAAAAAGGAAGCCTTTTTAGCTTTTGTATCAGAACACCTAGATTACAAGAATTACAAGCAATTATTTTATATATCACTGAGATGCAGTGTATCATCTACATCTTTGAATGAAGTTGCAAGTGCTGACTTAGTGAACATTTCCATTTTCACCTACGCACACGGTTGTGATGAAAAAAAACAAACATTAGGCATGGTTAGYTTCCCGGAACAGTTGAATTTCCCACCATGGTCAAGCTTCTGAAACTTTGGATACTGAAATATCAGTCGATAAAGCAAAAATACCAGCAATCACATTTTCACTTAAAAAGTCGTGAGGGAAGTTGGCAGTACACATAATGATCTTGAGTTTATTACTTAGTTTCAAGTTGAGACACTTTATCAAGACTTATGACAGCTAGTCAGCACACATCACACTATCCCAGCAACGGGAGCACAATACTTCAGACTTGCTAAAAATATTTTTATCTTCTGAGGACAACAAGCTGTAGAAACTTCATTCCTGTAACAACCTGCTGCATAGTTAAGGCTTTTATTAAGGTCTATAAAAATGCATTACATGAAAAACCATTCTGATTATTGATTAACCCTGTGAAATAGATGTCAATCAGTTCGCTTCCACACATGCACCAGGCGCCAGCGACAGGGCAGATAGCAGCAGCTCCACGTTTTCTCTGCTACAGACAAGCACCCACCAGACTTAATACTAAACTTCAACTACCACGCGAAACCACAAATACCCAAAAAACTCACCGAGACCCACCGCTAAGAAAGCTGCGGGCCAAAGGATTTTTTTGCCACCTTAACAGGGGTTACTCTGCAATAAAGTTTAAAAACAGGACAAGCGCAGGCCCCGAAGTGCGGCCGCCACCTCCGCCCCACGGAGGGACGGGAGCGAGCCCAGCCCGCGGAGCGGCGTTTCCCGGCGCATCCCGGCGCATCCCGGCCCACAGCGACGGCCCCCGCGGGGCGGAAAAGCAGCCCCGGCCGTGGGGAAAACCCGACTCCGCCCGCGCTGCGAGAAAAAGGAGAGAAAAAGAAATAGGAAGAGAAAGGAAGCGAGACCCGCACGCCTTAAGTACCACAAAAGTTCCCTGCGGTAGCGCCCAGCCACTCAGCTCCAGGTCGGCGACGGCCGCCGACTTCCTCCTTCCACACGTACCTGGCAGAGCAGCCCTCGGGAATATYCCCACCCCAAGCCCGGCCCCTCCGAAACCCAGCCCCTCTCCGACACCCACCTTTCCCCTCGCTCGGCTCCCTCCGACGGGGGCGGAGGGACCGCCCCCAGCCCCTTTCTCTCCACCCCCACTGCTCCGAGGAAGAAGGAGCCGGGATGTGCCGCTCCCGGCCCCGCCCCGCCCCTGGCGGAACCAGGTGGAAGCTTCGGGAGGTTCGCGGGCGCTCCCGCAGCCAGCGGCCGCCGCCCGCCCCTCAGCACGGCCCCCCCCCGGCGCGGCGGCGGAGCGGGACCCCCGTGCACAGCACGGCCCGGCGGGGCGGGCGGGGAGCGCCCGCGGGCGGGGCCGCCCCGGAGCGAGCGCGGCGCAGGCGCACTGAGCTCCCCGTCCCCCTCCGGCTCCGCGGCGCCTGCGCAGTACGGTGCGCTGCCGCTGTGGGGCGCGGCCGTGCCGTGCTGTGGCTTCGTCCGCCGGGCGCGGTGCACGGGAACAYGGCGTGGATTACTGCATCTCTTGGGGTGGAAAAGACTCCGAGATCATGGAGTGACCGARTAGCACCTTATCAGCTAGGTAATGGCACTGAATGCTACGTTCAGTCCTTCATTAAACAACTCCAGCGACGGTGATTCTTCTTCCTGGGCAKCACATTCCAGTCTATTGCAAAGTTTCATCACTTCTTCTGTGAAAAAGTTCCTCTTAATGTCCTTCCCTGGCACAGCGTGAGGCCATTTCCTCTTGTCCCGTCGCTAGTTGCCTGGAAGAAGAGACCTACCCCGACCTGGCTACTGTGTCCRTAGAGGGAATTGGAGAGAGCCATAAGATCTCCCCTTTTCTCCAGGCTAAACAACCCCACCTATCTCTGCCGYTCCTCATCAGACTTTTGCTCCAAACCCTTCCCCAGCTCCGTTTCCCTTCCCTGGATTCCCTCCAGCACCTCAGTGTTTTTCCTGCTCAGAAYTGAAAGCAGGACTCGAGGTATGGCTTCACCAGTGCCGAGCAGAAGGGGGAGAGTCACTGCCCTGGTCCTTTTGGCCACACCATTGCTGGTACAGGCCAAGGTGACATTGTCCTTTTTGGCCAGCTGCTTCTGTCGACCATTACCCCCAAGTCTTTTTCTTGCAGGCAGCTTCCCATACACTCCTCCCACAGCCTGTAGCGCTGCAAAGTTCAGTGGGGAAGCCACAGGTCAGGGGCCCTGCCATCCCTCAAGGCCCCAGTTTCCTCCTGTCCTGTGGGCCCCACGGACCACCTGAGCAGCCAGGACAGAGGGAGAAAGCCAGCCACCCCCCCAGGGCCACTAGATGGGATTTAGGTGCCAGCCCTGAGCTGGATGCTCGCTGTGTGTCTCTCCAAGTTGCTCAGCCTCAGTGCTGGCTGTTGCACGGTCAARAGGGTGGTCAGTCCCTGTCCGTGTTAGAGCTGGACATATGGATTTGTAAATTCACTGAGCCATATATTAAGGAAACATCCCTACCTGACCAGGAGCCACTCTGACAGTCACTCTTGCATCACCTGGGCTGGGATTGAGCTACACACCCCACACTCACACAGTCACACCAGACTTCCTCACCAACTCAACCCCAGGTTTCCCAAAGAAGAGTTTCAGATGTCTACATCTTCTAGGTACAATAAGTGAACAATAAAATAGCAGCTTGGGCTGGTGCCTCCTAGATCCATAGGTGGTACAGTGGGCAGAAGCCTAGTCCCTTGACTGGAAAGAATGGCAGAGGGCTCCTGAGTGAATCAGAGCAAGGTCTGGTGACACACATGTRGCTGTGTGTGGGGTCAAGTGAGCTGCATCTGCATCCTGCTCCTTGTAAGTGGGTGTCCAAGAGCAGGATGTGCCTTGGAGACACCAGACAGRCAACTGTGTTTCATGTAACTGCAAGGRATTGTGTTCCTCTGGTTATGTTTTGTGCAGGGTGGACTTCAAGGACTTTTCTGAGCTACCTCCTTTTCTGGGCTATGTTGTTAAACAAATGCGTAGCCTAAATCAAATGGATGATGGTCACATTGCAATTCTTAACATTTTCAGCGTCCTGTGAGTCTGATAGATTTCGTTCCTAAGATTATAGGAGTATCTAGAAATTTGCTTTTCTGTTTCCCCATAAGCTACAAGAACAAGACAAATCACCACGATAAAGGAAGTGCTTTGGGGAATAGTTGTTTGAATAAACCAAATTTTAGTCATAACACAAGGCTCAAAAATAAATCTTAGACGTAACAGCAGACTCAAAAACGATTGTATTTGAATCAGTTACTATGAGAAAAGGAGGTGAGAATATGCATGTATCTATTKTAGATATTCTAATATGAGAAAATACATACATATGAGAATATACTAAGATTTTCATAATTTCCAATGTTTTAGAATATATTTTACATATGTTAGCAATTAATTTTTTTATACAAATATAAATCTTAAAATTAAGGATTTTTGAGTCCTTTGAAAGAGCTTTTCTTTGGAGGTCAGATTGTGAAAAATGACATACAGGTTCATCCCTTAGCACACATGTTTCTTGTTACAAGTTAAATACACAATGTAATTTAAAAATACTATAAGTGTTCTCCTGTAATTGCTCTGTATACTATAAAAATAGAAATAAGGGTGTTTTGCCAGTAATCCAGACTGTGCTGCTATTGAAGWATGCTTCTAAATTAACTTTCAACTGCAATTCACAAAGCCAATAGAAAGTTTGATGGGTTGTTATAACAGAAAAAGAAAATAAATCCTTTGTGATAGGGCCTGTGAACTGGTTGCTAGCACAAGCAGGGATCAACAGAAAGGAAGAAAACTTTGATCATTCTCTTCCTGGGAGGCAAGGAGTGAAGGAGGGAGAGAGAGATACAGATAATGTGAGGGAAAACACTTATAGGAAGCAAACTTGGACTTTGGGAGTTACATTCCTGCTTTGCCTCTGACACTTTTAGAGGGTTTTTTTTGTTTGTTTGTGGTTTGAGGGTTTTGTTTGTTTGTTTTCACTTGGTCCATTTGTTTTATTAATTAAATTATTTTCTGCTTGTTCCCTGATTGGTTATGTCTGTTGYTTTTTCTCTTTTCCCCATTAATTTAAATTGTATTCTTCCTGATCTATGTCAAATTCATGTTTCTTGCAACTTTAAGGAAGTCCATGGAGTTGTGCTGTCTATAAATTAGRTAGTGCTGTCTATAAATTAGTGATTGTGTTGAATGGATGTGTTGTTTCCAGCTGCCTCTTTTATAAAGACATATAAACTGAATGATGGTCTTGTTTACTTTAAAGAGGTATATAGTGTAATTTATAGAGGTATATAGTGTAGTTTAATTAGATAGAACTTAGAGCAAAAGCAGAGATCTGTATGCACCGATCCAATTACAGCATCAGGGCCCAGGTGCACAATATTTCGCCTGCTCAGCATACAAACACAATTAGACAGATGCAATTAGTCAATCTAATCTATTTTAAATAAACCATGTTTATCTGTTTTTACCAGCACAGTTGTTTTGWCTTTGAGGTTATTCTATCAAATTTAAAGAAACCGACACCTACTGCATTTTTCTCATTCACATGTTGTTGTCTGTATTGCTAGCACTTGCTTACACTATGAAAACACAACACAAAAGTTACCTGTTTTTCTGTTCTGCAGTTGTAATTGTCRTTTTGATAGTTTTGAGTGTTTATGACATAAATTAGTATTTGGCATCTAAAAGATCTTCTAAGCTGCTCTCTCTATTATCCATTTTATGTAGCTTCTATTTACTCAGAATAATTTGATACATTGCTGTTTTTAAGGTAATTCTCCTGTTAAAACTCCAGTTCATTGTAACATGTTACATTTATGTAACCAGATACGTTATGTTTCTGAGAATACTATGCAGTTCCACTTCTAGTAGGAATTTCTTTGTTTAGTTTCYTGGAAAAAAACCTAAGAGATTTCTTAGCAGCGTAGTCATTGACTAGGTCATTTAACTTTGCTCCAGCCTGACAACACAAGGCTTTCAACTAGAGACTGTAGCTCAAGAAATAACAGTCCTGATTAAACCTGGCAATTCACTGCAATTTTACCAGCTCCTCAGCTGTTCCGATGCAACTAAATTGTAAGGTCATTCCACAAACTGGATTTGAAAATATAACTTCCTCCACGTTTTAGTTAGGATTAGTAYGCAGTAGTAGCAAAGCAGACATCTGGAGAGAGCAGCCATGGACTTCTGTGGCCCAAACCCTTTCTGGTTTACCATGCACCATACAGGCTGGCAGGTCCTGGTATGGTATGGCTAGTCCACTAAACTACTCACTGCACTGAGAGTCAAAAATACAAGCTGCATCTTTGACTCTGCTGATCACTTCTGGTAAGCAGCTAAAATAGGTGTTTTCTCTGACCATACCAATTCCTCTAAGTGAACCCCTCAAAGTGACAATTAGATATTGTGGTTTACCATTCTGTATCTTCCACTAAGGGGCCTGATGCGTTGCAGAAAACTAATGCAGAATCTTAGCAGATTTTTACTAGCAGCAAAGAAAAKGTAGAAATTGTTTTGCCCTAGACTAAAAGTTGTATTTATCAAAAGCCCAAGTTTTGGTCAGAGTGAAATCCCTTTGTGTCCATGGTTCAGCTGCTTTTTTTTTTCTTTTTCTTTTTTGCTTTTTTTTTTTTTTTTTTTTTTCCCTGAGAGATAAAATTGGGAAATTTCTGTTCAGCTGGTGAGTGTGAAAATGTGTTAAAATGTATGCGCTCTTGCTGTAGTCATTCAATAAGTTACCATTAAAGAATTTAGCTACACTGTTTCATCATTAAGTCTGTAATGTCCTCACAAGGGGAAAACATTTTTTTTATTTAGAACTCAGCTATCACTTGAGACTGTTTTATCTCCTGATTTCAATGAAATCATTCTAAGATCACAGAAAACCTAAATAGCATTTATTGGCAAAGGGCAACAAATTAATATGTCTGTCTCATGGAATGTACTAACTAAATTATCGATGATAGAAACATAGCTAACCTGTTAATTATAGCCAAATCAATTTAATCCAGAGTTGCCAAGAYCTTCGGATGCTTTAGAAGGTGTTAAAAGATCCAGTAGGAACAATAAAAGCCTTTGGCAAAACCTTTGGGTTTCAATAGACTTGAAATGGCATCATATTKAGGAACAGTATTTAGGAACAATCGAAATCAAAAGATACTACAATTATGCCTGTTGATATRAAACTTTAAATTGTTACCAGACCTTAAAGCAAACACTGATGCAAAATCTAGCAAACTTGGGATGTAAAATTATGCTCCAAAATCTGTATTTGTGCACAGAACTGGCAGAATCTGTA